GTTCTGGCAGATAGTCTCTTAAATGTCTGTCAGCTATTATTTGAGCTAAAGTTCCACCATCAGCATATTCCATTTCTATTAGCAAAGTATTATCTTTAATGAAACTTCCTAAATAGCTATAGACATTGATAGAAGATAATATATGTTAAGGCTTATGTCCTTACAAAATAAAAGAAAGAACTCACCTAATAATATTAGGATGATGTAATTTTGAAAATACTTCAACTTCATTCATAGCTAAGTCACGTTCTGGCGATGTTAAATCTGAGAGATTAATTTGCTTGAACACAATGTTATGTCCATCTGATTTGCGTCTATACAATATCGCCACGCCAAAGGAACCTTTTTAATATTATAATGATTTTTTAAAGAATAGTTAAGTACTCCTATTTAAAAGAATTTTAAATAAAATACCTTGACCAACAACTTTGACCTTTTCATAATTATTTAACTCGGGTCCAATAATATTTATTGACTTTGCTGTTTCTTGTGTAGCGTTTTTAGTATGCAAAGTTGATTGTTGTGATGGTTGTTGTCCAATTACAACGTCTGAACCATTTGTTGTTGTTGGAACAGTATTCTCCGACTCTACTATTTCGTTTTTTAATAGCGATGTTACTGAGGAAGTGGAAATAGAAAAAACTGAAGATTGAACTGGACCACTGAGTGTAGCACGTTTTTTAGCTTTCACTGGTATAACTATAGATGATGAATTGCTCGATGTTGATGAGTCTGAAATGCGGCCATTAAATATAGGTAAAGAAGTTGCTTTTTCTCTAATTTTTTTCATTTCCAATTATTTAACTACAATCCATATAATGCAGAAATTACTCCAAGTGAACGATGTTTGACCAATAATGTCAAAAAAATTACTCTATTAAGTTTGTTTTTGTTATGGTCAAATTTTAGGTAACCTAGCAGCTTAGTGAAGTATGTGCAATATATGTATATGACCACTAATAATTAAGTGGAGTGAACGGTTGAATTGATATGGGATGATGGATAATACATTATTATAAAAATTTTTATAAACTATCTTTTAAAAGTTGACAATTAGTTAAAAAGAGTTATCTAATACATTAATTATAGGATAAGTGTATATAAAATATAAAAAGTGGTGTCACATAGTATTTGACAGTATCTCTTTAAAAAGAGCACAACAATATTGTTATAAAAGTTTTAATAATTTACAATATTTAATCGAATTTAGTAATAACATCAGTAATTATGACATACCCGTATATTGAAAATGTCACACTGCATCTATGAATTACTCAACTAAAAAAAAGTGCATCTATGAATTACTCAACTAAATTCATGTCATCACGAAACAAACCCTTTCACTTGATTTAAGCATACAGTTAATGCTCAATACAGTAAAACAAACAAAAGTTAAAGTGCTTAGTAAGAACACCAAAAAGGTAAAAAAATTATTGTTAAAAAGGAGTGTATACGTAATACGAAAAGTGCTATAACTGCACTAAAACTGCTCTTAACATGCGAAAATCTTTGTATAAACATTTTCAGTTTTAAAACGTCTTTTTTTAAGTTGATATGTTTATAATGAAAAATATTTTAAATGCGATTTTCGTCTAATTTTATAGTTTTTTTTACTTTTTTTCAATCTGCTTTGTTTTTTTCTAAATTTCTTTGCATTTTTTTTTTTGTTTCTACTGATGTTATCGTGCAATCATTATTTATTTAATTAATCTTAATTTAATATTATTTACTTAGAACTGAAAAAAGTAAATTTGCAAAATTGTTGAGTGCATCATCTTTCTTCAGTGCCTGCCAATATTATACAAAATGTCGCCTAATATGAATATTAGATCTATTTATTTAGAGATTTATTTAATCTATTTAGAGATCTTTTACTTTACAGAAAGAATGCATTCCGTTAACCTCAAATAAAATAGGAGCACCTTTTTGATATTTCTAAAAAGCCAGTGCCAGCTGGGAGTAAGGTATTGATAGTACGGCAAGGGAGTATGTCAAAATGTAATTCTTTCAATTTAGCTATTGTTTTTATCGATCCGTGCGTTATTATTTTTGGTCCGATGTGCACAAACACGGCAGACACTTCGAAGGCAACGTAGACTAAATTCTGGTTTAAAGTTGTTAACCACTGATATCTTCAAAATATCGATAATCTCGTCCAATATCATCTGAGGGTTTCCTATTTTGTGAACTTTTTCATGTTTTTAGAACAAATGGCAATTGTGGGCAATCAGTGCGTTAAATATAATCGGTGTTTGTACAACGAAGTTCAAATTCAGTAAACCACCCAATAATAGTTAATCGCCTAAAGCATATAAAGCTTCATGACGCTTATCAAGCCACTATTAGGCATCAAAAATATTTTTCTCCATTCAAAAACAATATTTAATAAACATCTATCATCTATTTTGTCCATACTTTTATATATTATCAATATTGGTCCACAAAAGCATGATTCTACGATCATAAAATTTTAATTTTTTGCTCGCAAAAAACAGTTTCAGGTGACTTTTTCAGGCCACATCCTTAGTATTGAAGAGACCGGGATAAATAATCTTGATTATTGATTATAAAAATGATCATCAAGGTGATTATTTTAAATAAACAAATAAATAAGTAATTTTAATAATATTTTATATGCTTGATTGATTTAATGTATATCAATCAAGAAACTTATTTCGATATTCATCCATGGGGTCTTGAAATTAAGAGCACTTAATAAAAACCAAAACATTAATAAATTTTGTTGTTATTGTAGCAAATTTTTTTATTACGAAGTTGACTTTATTTTAAATTTTTCATATAATATTTTTTTTAGTAATAATTTATTTATTTTTTTTTTTAAAGATTTTCAGCAAAATTTAGCACAAAATAAAATGCACTAAGATATTAATTGACTAGAAAATAATATGTACTCGTTACTTGAGGGGTTTAAACGTCTATACTTTCCATTCTATAGTAATGTTAAAATTAGTTTTTTGTGTATAATATTTACAGTGAGATATATAAAATATTATAGAAACAATAATAATTAAATCAATTATTACATTTTTTTAAATTTAATCCTTTTTATGCATAGTAAAAAAATTTTATGAAACTTTTCGTTGGGACTGTTCTTCTCAGTGCACTAGTCAAAAAAAAAATATATATAAACGAATAAAAATGAATTAACAATAATAATAAGTTTAATTGATAAACTCAGTTTCTTTTTTTTTTTTTTGTATTATACATATTATATATTCGCAAAAGTATTTGGTGAAGAATAGTTATATTATTTTTAAGCTGAAGCTAAAAACTGTGCCAAATCTTTAATTTGCAAGCTTTTTTTATTGCAAGGGGTTTTGTTAATTAATAAAAATTTTGCTTACTGTTCTTAGCAGAAAGAAATTTATTCTGACTCCTATTTGAAAAATATACCTTTAATATACAATAAAATTCTGACCTCAATCTAAGCAACTAGATTATAATTTTACATCTCTTAAACTTAATGTGTAAATCTACTACTATATGAAATCTTTGAGTTCTTTGGTAAAACAGGTACCGTCTCAATAATTTCCTGTACTATATTCTTGTGGTAATACTACTATTAGTTAAAGAACTTATAGTATAAACTTCATACCACAGTCTTGACAAATTCAAAATAAAAAGTGGATTTGTCTTTTATTGATTCTGATTTTTCCGTTAAAATTTTCTATTTTCAAACTTTTCTTATTCAACATGGTAGACATCCTTCTTATGTAGAGATAAAAATATATTTAAAAGTTTTTTAAAAATGACCCACATTACTATTCCATTAAAAATAAGCAAAACATTAATATTAGTTAGGTCCAATTAAAATGGCAATAGATTAGATTAATAGATTAAAATGTCTTTAATGGAAGTTACCTCTTTAAATAGACAAATTCTAGAGATGGAGAAACCAAGTAGGATAAAATAACTGGGATGTTAGTAAAACTTTTGTAGTTTTGTTATGGAAAGTTGTATATTTCCTACGACAAAATTTCTTATCTCTCCCTCTCACATTACTCCTTTTTTCTCTTTTTTTTCTTTATATTGAAAGAGCTAGTTTTAAACGATTCTGCGTGGACTAATTAAAAAGATTAGTCTAAGCTATATATAACTATAAGTTAGGTTGCTATACACTTCTTCGAAAATTTTAATAATTTTAGTCATCTTAGTATTTTAAAAAACATTTTATCTTATTAAACAGGCATATTCTATTAACAATGAATATGCACATATGTATGAGTATAGTGCTTCGATGCAGGTCGGAGGCTTAAGTCCCTCATCCCTCCCTTCACCTATCTTCAACAGTTATTAGTGTAACTATTAATGCGATTCAAAAACAAAATGTTTTTTAATCAAAATGTTTTTCTAGATTTATAAGAACACAACACCATGTCTGAAATTTTTGGATAGTGTTGAAGAAACATTAATCTTAAGCTTTTAGAAGCTTTTCAAATATAAATATTTCAATAAGATATAAATAAAATTGAAATTATTAAATTAAAGTAAAAAAATTCATTCGAAAAAGAAATTGTAACCGAAATTACGAATTACTAAGAAGCCTAGGCCAACCTGTTCAATAATGCAATCCTGTTCAATAAGGAATACATACTAACTAAAATCAATACAAAATTAGTAAATTATTGGCATTATTACTGAAATTTAATTGACTTTTCTTAAGCATATATTGAATATGAAATAACTCAACTAAGAGTAATGTGAACTATTTATTTTCAAAGGTTTTAAAAATGACCGGGTTTACTTATCGCCCGTCACACCCTTCTCTGATAACTAAATGAAACTCACTACTTCCATTCAAGTGTGAAACGATAAGGAAATTTTTTTCTAATAAATCAAATAACTTTATATTTAATTAACCACTAAAATTTTATATAATTACTTTCCAAAAGCATGTCAATTGATTAGGGTTTCAATAAAAAGTAATAATAAATAATAATCTAAAAGTCTAAATTATTAATACAAATGGATGGTGTGAGATAAAAAATCTGCAAACTCATATTTTTTATATATCTCTTAAATATGTATTTAGGAGATTTTGTAGTAATTAATTCAAACATTGAAAATGTCTTTCAGTTCGAATAAAAAATAATCCAATGTGTCTAATGCTGAACTATAAACACAATACATTACAATTAATGTGGCATTTAATTGCGCTAATTGTGGTTTGTCTTAGGGCTGATTTCATAGTAAGTCTTAAAACTGACTAAAGTGTGAATTAAGTCAGCAAAGTTGATTAGGACTAGGAATAAACATGGTACTAGCTCCCAGCGGAGCGGAGCACTTTGACCAGATTGATCTTTTGTGCTCCAACAGACCCTAACCGAACGCCTTCCGAATGAAAGCCAGAATGTCGGCCGTTGAGAACCTCCTAATGTCAGAAGGAGAGGATAGTACTCGACCCATTGACCTCCTCCTGGTGCAGATTAAGGCTGGGCAGTCACAGAGAATGAGTCGACAATTGGACAGACCCATTTTGTTAAGGTGATAACGTAGTCCATGGTGACCCGTTAAATATCCCACCAGCAACTCAACTCTGCCAGCAAAGTTGTTTACTTGCGAATGACTTTAATCAGTATTGAAACTAAGTTTACGATTGTGAAATCTGCTCTTATTATTGTGCTTTTTAAATATAGCATATGTCAAAATATATATAAGCGACAGAGCCCTGAAGCTATTCGCGAAAATCGACAGGCTGCTCTACTTAGCACTATCTAATCTCAAAATATTCTCTAACCGCACGGGGCGGTACGCAGTCATCGGTATCAGTTATCGAATAATCACGGAGCTTTTGAGGAATATTTAAATTAGTCAGTGAGAAGGGTGGGACTCTGCAGAAACCCCCAGATATTAAAGGATAAAAGTGCCCAGATGCACATGAATGAATCATTAATTAATCATTAATTAATTAGTTAAATAATTTATATATTAATATCATTTAACTTAAAAGTTATAACTTATACTGCTGGCTATAACTATTAACCACTGTTAACTATTAAGCATTTAATTTTTATTCCCACCATCCACTACGCACGCATATATTTAATTTTATAGTTTAATTGTACCATATATATGCATATATGTTATTATAATTGGATTTTAATATGGTTAAAAATTTTAAATAAAATAAAAACAATTGAAAGCAGCAATTTAAACATTGTTATAAAAAATATTATGTACGTCATTAGCATATAATTAGTATATACAATGGATCACACTTTACAAATTTTGTTATTAAATATATATGTATTTTCATATATGTCTTCTACTACATATATGGTATAATAATTAAGCAATCCGTTTGTGGTTTATTATTAAAATGTCATTACTTTAATGGTCTCAGATAAAACCAATTTACAGATTATTAAAAGGGGGATACGCATTGTTTATAAAACCTGTCTCATTTTTTGGGTTTGGTATATTTGTGTATAACTATTATTTAACTATATAAGTGAAAAAGCTATTATATGCATATACAAAAATTGCTTAAACTCATATTTTAAAATTAATTAAAAATATTATAAATTTTTTTACAACGTATTATTTTAAATTAAGTTCTTAATTTTTTTTTGCAAATATATATATAAAAATTGCAATTCATTTTCTATTTTTATAAGTCATAGTTAATTTTTTTTAATGTAATATATTTAAAATGTAACTAATTTTATATAAAATGCATATTCTGTACGCTTAAAATAATTTATATAATGTATATATTTTCTATATGTATATATATATATATATGCTTTTATTTCAAATAAGTTATAGTTAAATTTTTTATATAACTTTTTTTTATTTAAATTATTTTGTTATACTAGATTTTAATTAATTCTATTGACTACATTTTCTGTTTGTTTTTGTTTAATTTTTACTGGACAACTCATTCTTGTTGGTGTTATAAAAATTTTGTTAGAAATAAATTAACAGGAACAGCGATTACCCTCCGAAAGACTACCAAGACTAAATGTTCCTCCTAAACCATTTGACCCAGGCGATTTTTTATCTTGCGGCTTATCGTCATTGTCGAAATTATCACCCTAAAAATATTTAAACAATAGATTATATTAATTATAAATGTTATTCATTTTCATGATCAAAAACTTAATATTAATTATGGAACAGGCTAATTAGTGGGTTAATTGGAAAACAATTTACTGTTTTTGTAAGTAGCGTCGTTTATTGAAATTAATTTCCGATATTTCGGCTATATTCCGTATTCACTTTTTGTGGAACTTGGACGATTTAAAAACATTATTTAAACACCAATTAAATGTGCTTTAATTAGGTTAATTTAGGTTATACCGGCGATCCGCAGGGATCCACTTAGGCTTAGTACTTTAATTAACTGACCAATAAGCCCATTCTATAATGAATATTGAATTTATTATACAATCTAATAATAGTCTTAGGTTATGGTGAAAATCAATGCAATTTTTATTACGAGTAATAATAAAAAATCTGAAGGGTAATAATACCTAAATATAAGAAACTAAGTGTGTATTGAGTATTGAAACAAAACACTAAAATTATTTTACTTTCAAATAATAAAAAATAAAATGATTATAATAATAAAAATTCATTTATATTATAAATTTAGCTGTGATCATTATGAATAAATATATATAAACTTTTAGGATTTAAGTATTTATTTTTAGGTTGAATATAATAAACAAAAATATATAGTAATATATCTCTTTAGGAGAATGTGAAACTCTATTCACTATTAAGTTCTTATTTTCATTATTAATAAGGGAACACTAAACTTACTCGCCGTTCTCGTTGTTCTCGTATCTTCCTTGCCAAAGCTAAGAAGGCCTCTTCAATGTTTATATTACATTTACAAGAAACCTCAAAAAAGGGCATGTCGAAGTTTTCAGCAATCTACGGAAAAAATTAAATTAAAGTATATATATAAATTAGAAAAATAATTGATTGAGATATAAAATAGAAATTGAAAGTATCTAATATAATTGCTGATCTTGATTCTTGATTCTTCTTCTTGAGTTAGTGCTATTATGCACTTTTACTCTATAATGGCAGGGGGGCTTATCTCTACCCCACACTAGGCTTTAACTAGGCTAAGAAATCATATCATTTATTTGTCTTTTAGTTGATGACGGACCTTAAATCAGCATATCTTCCTGAGAGTCCAGACTGAGAGTGGACTTGCTGGAATTGACAATAATTACTATGCCAACGAAAGTATAGATAGCATTATCAGATACAAAAAGTATTTAGTTTGTAGAAATACTAACTAACTGACAAAGTATAAAAGGTCAAGAACAAAACCAATATAATGTAATCTAAAAAGGAATATTTCAATATAGTATTAATATAAGAATAATAAAGACAAATACTCTTAAATATTATATTAAATATTATTTTTATTGTGTTAACTTTAAACTTTCGTTTAAAAAGATTTAATAAAAATATAATAAGAAGCAGAAAATCACATCCTGAATTTCTGATATATTCTATATCATTCAGAACATCCTGCATATATGTTATATATTAACTTGAGATGAATTGATATAATCATCAGTGGTATTGCAAAAATAACTGGAGACAGGGGTACCATAGCTTTTTGGTACCCCCAAAAAACATATATATTAAGAACATAAAATATACTTGTGTTTGGCCCCATTTGATGCTTTGCCCTTCTTGCTACGTAAAAACCATGTCTGTGTATATTTCGACTTTAATTTTATGAATATTTACCTTTTCCCCTCTCTCCTTATCTACCATACGCTGTGTTGCTGAGCATTCACATTTGTTGCCAGCTAATACTTTCACAACATCCGGCGAGGCATTCTAGAAAATGAAATGATAACGTCTTACAATCTCATATATAATTAATTAACATACCTCTTGTATATTTCGTAACCAATAAGATAAATTATTATAACTTTCCAAGTTCGTCACATCATACATCAATAAAATGCCCATAGCACCACGATAATAGGCCGTTGTCAGTGTACGAAAGCGTTCCTGTCCAGCAGTGTCCCAGATTTGTAATTTTATTGGCACACCATCTAAATTTATTAATTTCTGTTTAAAATCAATGCCTATAAAATAAAAGAAGAAATATATAAAACGTTATCTCATTAAACTATTTTGAGAATATAGAGTTAATAATACTTTAAAAATTTAACGACATTGTAATGTAAACACATAACTGTGTTAATATTAACTTTTGTTTGCTGATATAATTAACTTTGACGTTACCAGCACAAATCGTTTTACGGATGCTTAATAAGCAGTACAAGGAATAACAGTGTGCTTTGCAAAATCGTGTGAGTGTATGTGTCCATGGAAATGGAATTAGAATAGGTGCTTTATAGCAAAATTTTCGGTTTTTTTGCATACGTTGTTAAATTTTACGAGTAGATTTTAGTGCAAAGAATTTTTAATCAGCTATATTTTTGATATTTTTTGTGTTATTTCAAAGATTACAACGACTAGAAGAACTTGTTACTACTTATATTCCAGATAACAATTATTAATGTGTTAGTAACATAATGAAAAAATCACACATTTACGAAAAGAAATAAACTCAAAAAAAGAACTCAATTAAAAATAACAAATCTTTCCCTATGTCTTACTGTAGGTTTACATTAACGCCATTAACTCGGCATTTGTGAAGTAATTAGTGTCATATATCAAATAAAATTCCTAACAACCTGTGCTAACAAGGTTCAATAATTAGAAGAGTAAATATAGTATAATAACTAGAAATTATCTTAAATCAAATATTATTGATGCAACTGTAGAGATTTGGTTCTTAAAGCAGTCAATTAATAGCACGTGATGAAAATGCATGATATACAGAGTGTCACATCAGTTTGTCAATTCCGTCTTTTTACAATTACTTTTCTACGTAATTTTTAAGAAAATATATACATAAATACGGCTTTAACTGAATGACGAGGCACAGATAGTCTTCTTTCCATTTGGGCGGAAGAGATTGCAGACCAAATGGGGAAGGCGTAAGTGAGTAGGGGCCGAATAAGCTGCTTATAGCAGAGCAGCTTAACTTTGCAGCTAAGCTGGTTGTATCTACGAATGGCAAGTTAACGTGGGGATAAAATTATGTTGCGGGGAAAAAACAATGCCAAGATATTTCAGTTTGGGAACTAGCTGGATGCGAATGTTGTTGAATCTGAGCTCGATGTCAGAGATATCAAAACCTCTAGTGCGATCACACTGCTGGCTTAGAAGGGCTATAGCAGAGATCTTGATGGGGTTAATTTTCCACCTGGTGTAGTAGTCAAGGAGGGATCTAAGGTGGGCATTAAGCTCATCGGCAATGCGGCGGGGGTTAGACGACCGCATGAAAACTAGACAGTCGTCGACGAAGCAGAAGTCTTGGCAGAAGTCTCGGTTCTCATGACCGAATTTAAACCGATATTTGGTTTTTTTACTCACTCTCAGTTTTTTAATATGCATTGAAAGTAACAACAATTTTGATTATGACGTGCCCGTGACACTCTACATAACATAAGCATAAAGATATTTTTTTGGCTGGGTTTGAATTGGTATGTTTAAAAGTAGTTAGTTTAGAGAATGTGTTTAAAAGTAGTTTTAAAAACCTTACTATAAGCAAAGCAGCTGTAGAACAATACTGATCTCACATGTCACAATACTTAAATGATAAAGCTAATTAAAATGTGAACTTATTACCGCTTGGAAATTAGTATTAAATACTTCAGTCACAGTAGTTGTAACAAACTGAAGACGTAGTATATTGCTAAAATAACAGTACACTTCTTTTTAATTGAAGGCTTGAAATAGAATTGAAGTTTAAGAAATAAATTTAATTATGCAAAGTTTCAGTAGAAAATATTAACAAAATAACTAGAAGCCCTAGACTGATGACTTATTTAGTAAATATGCTGAGCTAGAAATGTATCACTTTATAAGCAGAAGTCTTTCATCCATCTTCCAGTTTTAATATACATATGTATTTAAAACATATATTGTATAATATTATATCAAAATTTGTCAACAAAAGCATTACATTTCGGGAAATATGAATGCTCTTATAGATTTCCGAGAACTAATACTACCAACGAAAGAATCTATGTTGCAAAACGTATCCAACTCTCAGTTCCTATCCGCTCTCAGTTCCTAATATGTAGAATTTATTAGATTGCACAAAATACCTATGAGAATGTTGAATATCTGGGCCTATGACATTCATACTTGTATAATATGTATGAGGTGTTAGTGAATAGTTTGTCGGCTTTTATATTCTTAAAATAGTTTTTCAGTTTCGAATATAAATGTTGGACAGAAGAAACAGGCAGTAAATATTATTCGTAAAGTTAAATGAAACAAACTTTTTTTATTAAATAAGTGAAATTCGAAAATGAAGTTAAGGAGGAAACTTGAATAGTTGAAACCACCCGAAACAAACGGAATGACTTTATGTATACATATATCTATATATAATTAATGCATTGTAATAATAATACAGAAAAGTAAACAAAAGTAGAACTGATGTAGCTTTCCATTTGAAAGCCTCCCCCTTATAGAACATTTCTGGTACTAAAATTAATTGCCACCGATACACAATATCAATAGTGTTCTACTCTATATACTAAGCAATTTTATAATTAATTAAATGAATACTAATAAAACAAGTAAAATAATTAAATAATTAAGGAATAGATCATATAAGAAAACGTTAGTCCTTCATCATCCTTTGTTTACTAGTGAATCCCTAATAAAAACTTAATTGGGCAATTAAAATTGATTTTACTGAGTTCAATTTATGCATAAAAACATATGCACAAATATATGGTTCTATATATGAAGGTACATATAAACTCTTACCAATAGTGGAAATATATGTTTCGTAATATTTTTCATCACAGTACCGATGTACAATGCAGGTTTTGCCCACATTGGAGTCACCTAACACTAAAACTTTGTAGGTTGCCACAAAATCTAAAGCCATTTTTTTATTTTTAACCTACAATATTTAACTGATTGTTTTTGTTTTTGATTGTTGTTGTATTTTTTGTTTGCTTAATTTTTGTAATTAGTATTAAATTGAGGTAATAAATAAATTAATTTACTTATTTTATTGTTATTTAAAAAGTTATATTGTTTATATCGTTTATTAAATTCAAATAATTTATTTTTTTGCAATATGAAAATAGCTTCCACTTCAATATTTAAATTTCAGTTTATTTTAATTATAAAATTATATTTTTTATGTAATTATTATTTAAATTGATTTTATGTACTCTCAATAATAATTTTTAAATTAATAAATTATTAAATATTTTCACAACGTATTTTCAACACCGTTCATTCGAAAATCAGCGAAGAAAAAAATGATTCAGCTTACATTTATGTGAAAAAATCAATATCGGTTTTGATTCCATTTAATAACAGCGGCCAGATGTGTGCGAATAGTGGATTGTGGAACGAACGGCCAAATGCATATTGGATTTGTTTACATGATTGAGGACTTGTTATTATATGCTTTCGACGTATAGCTTCTCCATAGTCAACTACCACCTGTAGCAACACACAAAACAATCAGTCATTTTATAAACTTTTTTCCTACATTTAGGGATAAATAAATTTTAGCTCAAAAAGTTTTATCTTAAACATAAACAGAAATTACTGAATAAACAATACTTAATATAATTTCTTAAGTAATTACTATATACTAGTGATAAATTTTACACTGCAAAAAATAATGCAAAGCTAAGTAAACACTAGTGGAAATTTAATTAATGAAATTTTTAGCACACTAGAAAAAAACATTAGATTACTTGAACTAATACGAAAGATATTAAAATGTTTGAATTGTTTAAAGTATTTAACCAGAATGTATAAACACTTGAATTTATCGAACATTATAAAGCGATTCATAGGAGTTTAATATATAATTATTAAAATTATATATCCAATATCCAATATCTGTAATACTGTTATCAATATTATTAATTATTTTTAATAAGGCAACTATTTATATTGTCTTAAAACGATTTGTTAAATACCAAATTGTACCTTGAAGAACCCGCAATCCACATATATTTTACTTATTATTTAAGATAGGATTTACGTAATAAATCTTTACAGCCCTTTTAGGAAATCTGAAAGCAAGAGTATCTGGTTTTTGAATGACTATTCAAAAGACGATGTAGATTCGATCGATCCGGAGAATCTATAACTATGTACTATGACAACTTATACGTATTGTAAAATTTTATGTAAAAATAAACACGTAAAAATAAACGCAATCATTTTCTTACATGGTAAAAATAAGGTTCTGACTATAATCACATACTTTGTCTACATGTATAACAAAATAATGTTAAAAAGTCGGTTTTTAACAAGAACGTTTTTTTTAACAAAAACGTCTTTTTTTACAAAAACCGAGTTCAATCAGTTTTTGCACACAGGTTCTTATTTATTTTTCATATGCACACATAAAATAACTTTACTTTCTACATTAAAAAGGCTTATTAAAAATATTAGTTTGGAGTCATATAATTTAAAATTTTTACTGAGACTGACGTTAAATTACATCTAAGCGAAAAAACTTATTTAATAATCATTGGTAAATGGTTTGAATGTTTTTTTATGAATATTTAAATATAATTACAAAGAACAAATTTATGTACAAATCGTGCTAGATTTAAAACAAACCTTATAATTTTCATAAAAACAAAAGAAAAGTACTCTATGTTCAAAACGGTAAGGTAGAATTATAATGTTATACAAATTGGAAAAATTAATTTATTGATTTACTTGAGAATTCAAATAATTTTGAATTATTTATTTTACTTTTCTTTTCAATTATTTCTTTTCTTTTGTATTAAAAAATATTTAAAAATAGTATAAATTTGGAATCTGATAAAATTTACAAATTGAATTAATTTGTTATATATATTAGAAGCTTAATATGTTAATAAATTAGTTAAAGCACAAATATTTAAAAATTTGCGAAAACATATAATACTAAATTCTTGAAATGGCAAAAAAGTTAATTATGGTTTATTTATCTTTTTATTAAGTAGAATCCATTTCTACATACGAAACATAGAACTAAAAAAGTTATTAAATAAAATTAGTTTGAAAATTTTTTTAAAAAGTTACAATTTTAATTATTTTTTCCAAAAGAATATAAAATAACTATAAGTTTTTAAATTTTAGATACAATAAAAAGTATTTCAAATACTAACCATATGTATATTTTAATATATTGTACCCATAAAAAATTTATATCTTGGACTATTACACAATTTTGATTTGTAAGTAAACTGTTCACAATTGTAGGAATTGAAAACGTTGGTCACCATGTTTCGCTTTAATTTTTATTTCGCCGTGAAATATCAATTATAATTAAAATATGTTCGGTAAACCTTTTAGTTAGTGTTTGTACGTACAAGTGGTAATTTGTTTCAGCGGTTGTCAATATGGTGTATATAGTTAAAAGCAAAGTAAGTAAAAATTACTAATAAATGTCTTTCCAATAACAAATTAAGGTATATGAATGGTTTTAATAATTATTGAATCAAATTTATGGTGAAGACAAGTTCAATGTCGAAGTGCAATTTCTATTTAGATGATGTCACATTATTAATTTCAAGTTATGAAAATAAAGTGCTGTTAGTATTCTTATTGAAATTGTGTAAATTAAAAATAATGGCTGAAATTTTAAGATATGTTTATTAATCAGAAAATACTAGTGGTGGCATGAGTGTGACCTGCGGTATTTAGCGTCAGATTTCTATACAGAGTGATCTATGCTTAAAATTTTGTAGTCACATTTGTTTTGCGCCATATTTTTTTTTTCTAAAATAAATATTTAAATATAGTCGCTTGATTTATATGTAAAAGTATTCGAATTGCCACTAAAGTGCTCATTTTAATTCATGACGTAATTTAATTTTGAAATTCTTTGGCAAAACTAAAAATATTCGTCATACTTAACACGAAGAATGGTTTGACCAACCATTACTGTATTTGTTTTTTTTGCTTATGTTAAACATCTTCGCCGCTCTGCTGTGTTGTTTGTGTTTGAGAAATGCCATTTTCGCTTTATTGCTTTTTTAACATTGAAAATATTTATGTTGACTTTTCTACAGCAATTTCTTGTGAAATTATTTTGTATACCATATTTCCACTTTATTATTGCTGTTAGTAAGCACTTTTTGCTTACCTTATTTCGCTTATTTTTTCTCTGTTAGTAGAAGCTTTAACTTCTAATTTTAATATGTATGTATGTATATGATTGAGCTAAGCTGAGAACATACATAAATTGTATGAGTAAATGAAGTAAAAAAGTCCACTCTTAATATATTATTATTATTATTTACATATTCAGGAATAACATCGCGATCGCGCGCTATTTCTCTTAGCTTACTAAATGATTTGCTCGTTTCTTTACTGATGGTTCTTCTTCATGTTGTCCTCGGCCGACCGCGATTTCTTCTTCCTTGCGGATTTCACTTTTATTATTCACCCTTACCCTGAATATACCTGATTTAACTTATTAGTACAATTTACAAACGATGTGATATTTTGAAAAGATCAGTAGTCATAGTGAAAGAATTTTTTTTATTGAAATTTCCCTTTCGATAAGTTTGTTATGACTACATTCTAAAAAATTAAAAATTATATAAATTTATATTTTATTTAATATATATATTTGTAATAATATTTATTATAAATATATTCATATATATATATTTATATGTATTTTATTTATATTTTAATTTTATATAAAATGTTACCCAAATTGCAAACAGACATATTCACAGTTAATGTGAAAAATTTTATTGTAGTTTTCTTTTTTAATAAATGGTTTATGATAAAATCCAAAAAAAAAAAATTAGTATATTATTTTAAATGAAATGTTATCCAAATTGTACTATTACACAAAACCAGAATAGAAGGAAAGGGTTCACAATTTTAAAAAAATTTTTATTGCTCACCATATTTCGCTGCAAATTCGCCGTAAAATTTCAATTATAATTAAAGTTTCTTTGGCACATTTTTTTAGTTAGCGTTTGTTCGTACAAGTGGCAAATTCTTCTAATTAACGTAAATCAATATGGTCTATATAGTTAAAAACAAAGTAAGTACAAAGTGCTGATACATATACATATATATTCCTCTTTAATATAAATGTTTTTAATAATTATTGAATGAAATACTTGTTAAAGACAAGTTCAATGTCGAAATTATAAATATATAATTTTAAATGATTTTGAAAGTGCAGTGTTATTGATGTTAATATATTTAATGTAAAATAAAAATTTAAATAAAGTTTTACAAATGAAAATAATTATCAATTAGCAAATATTATTTGCGACATAAGTTGAGTATGAAGTTTGCGGCGTTCAGCGTTAAAAATCCATAGAGCAGTGGGTGCTGTGCTTGAAGTTTTGTAGTCATGTTCATTTGTTTTCCGCCATTTTTTGTATAATGGAATGTTGAAATATTAATTATTATAATTTATAGATTTTTTGTATCAAAATTTTTTAATTGCCCACTCAAACGTTCAATTTAATTCATGACGTAATTTTATTTTCTAATTTTCTGCCAAAGTAACAACATTCGTCATACTTAACACGAACAGCAGTTTGAGCAACCGTTGTATTTGTTGTTTGCGTTTGTGGATCTGCCCTGCCGCACTTGCTGTGTGTTGTTTGTGTTTGGGAAGTGCCATTTGGTTTAATTGTATTTGTTTTTGTTGTTGTTTACTGTATTAGATTGGCATCGCAAGAAAGCTGCAGCTTTTGGGATACAAGTTACACAACATGGTTGGTCATGACTAAAATTGTTGTTGGACAGCAATAGAAATATGAGTAATGCCGACCCCGACCGACGTTAGTCAAAATCAATTTATGTTAATATTATAATTTCTATAAAAAACACAATTCGAAAACAAGTTTATTTTGTTTTTTAGTTTCATTTGTGTTTTACTAAGAATTTTAAATTCTATCAAATCAAATTGGAAAAAAAAATGAGATTTGCTTGGGCTTTGTCTGGTAACCGCAGCAACGTTGCTTCAATTACTTTTTGCCACAACAGAAGGAATAATGCGTTTCAAATAAATTGATATAATTGGTTAATCCATTAAATCATTAGTCCCTATTGCTTAGTAATAAATAGTTAAATAAATAAGTTTAAATAGAAAAAATACACAACAATCAATAGCGTAGAAACGTTTAAAAGGACTAAACTTTAACCCTTTTAGTCTGCGGTAGGATGATCAGCTTATAATTATTTTTAAGCCATATACAGTCAAACTTCCATAACTCGAACAAAAATTGTGTTTCGTGGCGTTTGGAATATGGAAAAGTGCATTCTATAAGTCGAATTTTTATTTTAAGTATAAAAGTATTTTGCTGTTAGGGGAAATCCCTTTTTCCAAACCCAATATTTAAATTTTTCTTTCTTATGTTGTTTCTTTGTGTAAATGCCAGTCGCTGGCAGCGTGGTTTAAAGTAAAAGGTGTTAAAATAATTTCCAATGCTTCTCTTAACGATTATATTGAGCTTGACAATGAATTTACAGCTTTCCTACAGATGACGATATTATTAAGCATTATAGCTTCGAATTAGTGAATCCGATTCTAAGCACAACGGAAAGTGATATGAGGGTTCGGTGGATGAAATTGTTCATCAGCCTTCCAAGAATGAAGTAGAAGACTCATTCAAAACTCTGAATTTTTATTTACAAACGAATGATACTCCAATTGATGATCACTATAAGAGTATGAATAAAGTGGAATCTCTTTTTATTAAAAATAAGAAAAAAATTAAAGTCCCAAACTCCAATTTCTGAATATTTTACTTCACTATAACTTTTTTGCTTTATTTGATTGCAAATAAATTAATATCTTAAAATGTGATTCTAGTTTCTTCCAAAAATAAAAATAAGTCGAACCTTTTCTTTGCAAAATTGAACTTCGAGTTATGGAAGTTTGACTAAAACACATTTTCTTTTTCTAAGAAATAAAATATACAAAAATGATTGAAATTTGACATAAAAATTTTTATAACCTTTATTGTAAATGAGTATAACATTTAAGGCATCATTTTTGTTTTTTAGGATTTTAAATTTTATTTCCTAATATTAGAAACCTTCTGATGAAGGCAATAACGAATTTGACGAAATACGTATAGAAATATACTAAAACAAACGTCCGAAATAAAAGTCAAAATCCAGAAAAAACAAAAAAATTATAAATAAAATACATTTAAGGCATATCTCCAACATCAAGGCGTTTCAGATAGATAGGTTTTTATATTGTTTTTATTGCATCTCTTATAACACATTTAGGGTAACCTTTTAAATCTTCAATTAATCTTGACTGAATCTTTGACAATCGCAAACAAAAACAAACCAACAACTAAAAAAGTAAACTGCGCCGCATAAATATTTTTGCATGCATATACTTGTTTTTATGACGTCACTTTATAGTTGGCTTTGCCTAATTCTCTGTTTTAAATACTAGATGGTGAGTATGCATGTAAAAACTTTAGTATGCGTAGACAAGTAGAGCTACGGCATGCAACATGTCAAGCAACGCTGATCGACAAGCACTAAGTAATTTTACAAACAATTATTGTTCGAATCTAGGCCCAAAAATGAGAGTAGGAGTAAATGTAAATTTCGTTTAGGTGATGCAAAATTTAAAATGCAAATTTGTTCTTAGGCTCTTTTGATAGATTTCCGTACATGGTATTAAGCGTTGGATATTGATATATCCTTGGAGTTTTGACATGTAACTTACATGCCTTAAATGACAGAATTTTGAAGCTCACACTCACTCACTATATAAGAGAAGAAATCAATTTTTTCGTCAGTAGTCAGTGTATTTCCTCATACCCTAATAAATTCAAATATTGTTCACATAAATGTGACGCAAATGTTTATTTCTCTCACTTTAATCTCTCACTATTTTCTTAACCTCTTAATTCAGTACCAAATACTTCGTAATGACTGAGTTTTTTTTTTTTTGAAACTCTGTATTTGAATAAAATCTGATCGGATTCTACTATTAAAAACTTTTTGCTATTGTTCAATATATGTATATTATTCATAACTAAACTATTGTTTATAAACCGATGTGTGAAACTTGTGTTGATATTTGTTATATAAATATTCATTTATTAAAAAGTAAAATTATTTGCTTGTTCAAAATACGAGTACTTCAATCAATTCAAACAAATTTTTCATTTCATTTCTGCCTGATTACCTACCGCTTGTCTGTCGTCTACCTACATTCAATTAAGAGTGTAGTTTTTCGTGATTGATTAAAAAATATATACGTGACAGTATAATTATTGTATTTATTTGCTGATACTATCACATTAGTGGAGGTTAAAATTGTGAAAAGGTGTATCAATGCATAAGTTTTGTACGTTCAACGCATCCCCCATAATGACTCCCTTTACATTTAAAGAGCAACTACAGCTCCATATATCCTTAACAAATATTTGAAATATCATTCATTTTATTGGACTGAGTTTATCATATAAAAACGACGAGTATATTTACACCCCTTGTTGATATGCCAATATGTACTTTATAAATGTACATACATATATGTAACATATATGCATGTAGCCACTATTATTTATTCTAGATAAGTGAAATGTGTTGACAACAACTGAGCTGGAGAATGAAAGTTATATTAAACACGAAGAACCGTAAATACTGATTAGACTATGAAGTGAATAATTTAATATTCATACTAGACCTATGTGAAAAGCCAAGTAAATATAAAAAATAATATAAATAATAATATTAAGTGGAAGTTCTAGTAAAAATAAATTCATATCTCAAAACAAACCAAAAATAGTGGTAAAAAACTGATAAACTGAAAATTTTTTTTATTCAAAATTTATTAATATATTTACTTATGAATTATGTAAATTCAGATTAACTTTACAACTGTAGACCTACTTATGAAACATTAGTTCTCGAACTAAGTTTAAAGTTTACTCGAGTGTTAGTATTTTATTTATTTTTTTTTTAATTTAAGGATTAATTAATCATTTCCTCCGGGGATATATGTAGATATCAAGTATTTATTATTTGGTTTATATAATGGGCTGTTGATTATGTGATTTATATTATTGATAATTTTTAATTTACATGGGTAATCCAACATCATGTCGCATTTATAAACATAATATATACCCTTACTTTATAAATGAAGTCTTCGGAATCTCTACTAAATAGTTGTAGTTCTCCGGGCAGCAATCTGATGGTATAATTTACCCCACAAAACATGAATAATAAGGTTTTTTTTTATTAATATTTTAACTACTTCTAAGTATAACTTCTACTATTGATATAACACATTTTTGGAGGTCTATATTTTGATCCTATATTGTAATATAAGGTATTTTATTTTTATTTCTATATGTCATTCTTCTGTTCTGCTTCCCAAACAAATTTGTGCCTTTTGTAGTACATTTAGTAACATTGAATTAACTTTTGTCCTACTTTCATGTGAAACTGCGTGAATACTTTTATCTTCGATATTATAAAATTGTTAAAGCAAAAACAATTCAGACCTCATGTATTATTTACAATGATCTAAATAAATATTTAGTACATTTAAATTAAACAAACGTAATATAGAATTAAAATCCATAAAACACAGACTTAAAATCAGAAAAAAATATATAGTTAAAATATACTAATAAATTAACCATTTTTTGTAGATTATAATACTGAAACTAACTGTACTATAAATATTAATAATGATGATAGAGTTCACATGATTATTCAGTAAATACCGTGGTGCATTGAGGTAGTTTTATTAGCATTAGAACATGGGACCTTTTTTATAGTGTATTTTACTTTAGACAATAATACTATGAAAGATTTCAAACCAAGAATAAATTTCGAATGAGTGAATGCTTGTGCTTATAAACGGGCATTAAGTAGAATTCTGAAACGAATGAAAGAAACCCAAATAAACAAAGGAATTTAACAATATTCCTTCTATATAAAATATACCATTGAAACATTACTTAATTTAAAATAAAAAAAAATTTCAACATAGTTTAGAAGATCATCAGATCTTCTTCAGTTTAGAAGGTCCATCTTTAAAGATATTACATTTATTATTGTAGAAATTTCTGATGAGATACAAAGCTTAATTCAATGTTTGGAATCATCCTTTTGTCCATTATTAATCATTATTAAATGTATAAATAGTTGCTGACTAACTTCAATGAAAGGTTTTAGTATGTTTGTACGTGTTTGAATGCGTGTTAGCAGAATTATGCCCCAAGTTTATTATAAAGTGAGTTAATCATAAGCAGTCTTTACCTTAGTGTATTTTATAATTTTATACGTAGATTAACATTTTATTAAGGCGTGACTTATGTCATTTATTGAAGAATATAAATGAATATTATACGCTATTGGCGTATTAACGTTTAAGTTCATTTTATAATAAGCTAATTTTTATTTTAGTATATATTATAAAATTAATAAGAATTATTGTATTCACGCTTAATAGAATTCTACTTTTTAATTATTTGCTTTCACATATTGCCAACTGATTAATAAAGAGATTCTTGATTTAGTAATTAATTTTAGCAAATTTATTCTCAATAACAAAACAAGCTCTTATTCTTCATTTACTTTAGAGAAATTCTATACTTGTTTCAATTTTTGTTTTTTTTTTTATTTGAATACTATCTTAAGATTTCAGTCACGAAATCTGATATAATTTACTGAGATATAACATAGAACATTTTAATATTATATAAACCTCTACATCCAATGTTGTAGCTAATAATAGCAAGAACTAAAAAATACTAAACATTATTTTCTAACTATTATACTAACTGTTATTATTATGCTGAAAGGTTCACTACAATAAATAGGATGTTTCCAAAGTCTTAACTTCAAAATTTCAAAAATAAATTAAAATACTTGCAAAAAATTATATTATTATATGCAATATGCGAAGCAATAAGTGTTCATAAGTAAAAAAAAATTTTAACAACTTACTCAAATTTATATCTCAGCAACCAATTATTTTTAATTTTGTCCAGACATTTTAATCAAGGGTGTTCCTCTCGCACTATAACGATCTATAAAGAGCATAGTCATTTTAAAACTATCATATATTTCACTATGACAATAAGCCAAGTGCAATTTCAAATGTTACTTTTATTTTTGATTCATGCCAAAATTATTTCTGGAAGACTGTTTTACTTAGTCTAATAATAAGACTAAGTTTAGTTTTCTTTTATACATTGGTTTGCATGCACAGTCCAGAGTAATTGGTATCAGTAGTACATGCAAAACGTATACTAAACTTAATTAATTCTTTGTTTAATAAAAGGGCACTCAATTATTTTTCCTTAATGTGTCGATATCAGTACAGCATAATTCGTTTTTCCATATTCAATTCTGTTGTTGTTGTAATAACCCGCTGGGACCTTGTGAAGTCCCTTTGGGAGGTGTTGAACGGCACTTGATCGTCGGTGGCCGCGAATGCCCCCGGAACGTAGATCCGCCCATTCTTCGAACCTCTCTATGTTGTAGATATTAAACTATATTCTATTTCAGCTTTACTTTCAATGTTTTAAAAATTTTAATAAGTCGACATATATATCATACATATATAAATTTCTCTATATAAACATTAATAAAACTTTTTTATTTTAAAGAGATAACATTAATTTTCTTTTATATTTTAGACTGATTTCGATCAACAACTTGAAGATGCTGGCGACAAATTGGTTGTTGTCGATTTCTTCGCCGTCTGGTGTGGCCCATGTAAAATGATTTCACCTAAATTGGAAGAATTGGCCAAGGAACATTCGGAAAAGGTTGTGGTTATTAAGGTACGTCACAAAACAATATATATTATGTATTATGTCATCATTATAATAAAATACTAACAAATTACTTATATTTTAATATTGTTGATACCACATAATTTAAGATTTCTAAGAATTACAATGAGAAAAACTTACATTTCATGTACATAGATTATTTCCTCATAAAGAAATCTCTTTCACTGAGTCATAGATGATGTATTTAACAAATACTTCTTTATGCTAGCCGGATTTAGATTATCGTTTAAAATTAAGTGATGAATTTGCACAAGGTTTTATGATTCAACGAATGGAAAGATTATATAAAATTAATTAATCATACATATATTAATAATAATTAAATAATTGTTATTTAATTATTTAAAAATAATCATTTGAAACAGCAGCAATTTGATAAAATATTATATTCCAAACTTTTATTTATTTTTAATACAATATTTCATCTGTCACATTGAGGTTGACCAATTTTTAGAATATGTTTGTCAATAAATCAAATTCTAACTTCTTCTACCTTTTTATTTTTTATTAGTTTGTCATTTCAGGACTATGAAAACATACTTCAAATTTGGTTAAGATTCATATATATATATATCTTCATATTTTTATTTTACTTCTAAAACTAACCTTTACCTGATATAATTAGTTCAATTTTTTTTCTAGTAAATACACAATATTTGGCTTTTATATTTTAAAGAGTTTAATCTATTACTTTATAATACCTCATTATACAAAAGGTGAGTAAAACCTATAGCAGAAGTATTTTTTTCCGAATAAAAAGATTGAAGTTTTTAAAAAAAAATTTATTTCAATTCTGAATATAATATATTTTTTTATTAGCAAATACATTTACTAAAACCTCCCTTTTGTAAGTAAATAGAGATATGGTATTGTTTACCGTTTCTTGAGAGGTATAGTTTTTGTTTTCCATGATAACATATAATTTCTTAAACATTGTTGCTTTTGTTCTTGCAATTAAGTTGCAAGGCGCAGGTGTCACTTGGTTGTCTAAGAAGACCTCTGAGTACCTCAGAGTAGATCTGTACTCACTTTGAACATAGTCGAAGCTTCGTATTTTATTTAGGTAGAATGTAGATCATATTGTCTGCAGTTTTTAGAATAATATGATCAATGGTATTGAGGGCTTTGAAGTTAGGTTAAGGCCCCTATGCACCGTGACCAGCTTGATCTATTGTGGACCCGTTTGTATTTAAACATTCAGTATCTCGAGGAATCGAACCAGCTCCTTCGGAGGGAGTTTTCGAAAGTCTTCATCCTCTAGTTGGTATGCATCTAAAATTTTATTTCTTCTGCGGCCTAGTGCATCATAGTTGGTGATCAGATGTTCCATAGACTCTGTCTCATCACAGCAGAAAAATATAATATATACATATATTTAATTTATATCTAGTGTATAAAAGTAATATTTTTACTAAAATGATATTAAATAATTTTTATTTTTAGGTTGATGTCGATGAATGCGAAGAAATTGCTATGGAGTACAATGTTTCCAGCATGCCAACCTTCCTTTTCATCAAGAACAAACAAGTTAAGGAGCAATTTGCTGGTGCAAATGCTGAAAAATTGGCATCTTACATAGAGAGATTGGCATAAAATGTTATTACACAAAAGTTAAATAGACAATTTTTTCCTTTAAGATGTGTTAAGTAAATATGTTAACGTAATTATTTAAATTCCATAAAAAACAGAAAGTTTGAATTTTTTGCATTATTAGGAGAAACACCAACGAAAATATACTTAAAAAAATTTATTTTTTATCTCTTAACTGTAATTGTTAGCACATTTTCATAAATTTTGTTATGTAGATGCTTTGAAATTGTAATAAATTCAGAATTTTCTTTAAAATACATATAAACGTTTTTTTTTTATATCAAATAAATTGGGTCATATATGTTTTGTAGCAGCATTAATATTTATTACTAGGCATAATTATTAAATTGCAGTAAAATTATAAAAAGTGGCAAATATCAGTTATTTTTTCATTGTTTAGTTAAGAATCAAGAATTATCTATTTGGTAATTTTAGGGGCCAATAGGTCTATCTATCTAAGCTTGTCTAAGTTGAGTATTCCGTTGTATTATTGGGATCACACACTACACGTAGTTATTCGAAACAGATCACTCTTATAGTTCTACTAACTTATAAGTCAGATCAGAGGAAGATATTTTATTCAGCAGACAGCTGTAATATATGAAGAAAATGTAATAATAATATATCATAATAAATTCACTTCTTAGTGCTTAAGTTGGCTCCAAATTTATTTTATTTTTGTGTAATATTTTTGTTATATATTATAAATAATGAAAGTGTGAGAAAATAAGTAATCACTTCAAGATAAATTCATTAGGAGCTATTGTGAAGTGTACATAACATTGCACCTTGATAAGCTTTTATCAATTCATCATTATCATCCGTGACTATACAGTCCATGTAAGACCTAAGCTTGTTTAACAACATTCTTCCATTCTTCACTGTTTTTTGCTTTTATTTTTCAATTTCTAATGTTCATTTCTTCTAAATCCTACTGCACACTCTTTTCATCTTTTCCTTAGGCACCTTTTACAAATCCAATTTTGTATAATCCATCAAGTTCACAAAATTGGAAACAAACGCCGACTAAGCTCTCCATACAGATGTAGTTTTCTCTAAGAAACCATGGAAAACCATATCTTCCGGAAAGAGCGACGCCTTCCCCCGTGCAGCAAGAACTGTTGTAATTCAATTGAGTTAAAGATGTAGCTATGTGCTAAATAGTTGCTTGTCACGCATAACTATCATATCACTCATCTGTTTTCAAGTCCTAATGCTAACACCAATTTGAGTCACACTCCAATAGCTACGTCCCAAGGAAGTGGCTAGGTTTCTCCGCCTTCACTCAAGTTGATTTCAATTAATCCTCTTGTTTCCAAACAATCCTCTTCTTTTTCACGCTTCCTTTACCCAAACATATCCTAACCCTTGTATTTGTAATTCCTTTATTGTTATTTGCCATATAGATCTCCACGGGTTACTACAACAACAACGACTACAACATTGCAAATATTAGCACACCGATCGGTTGGCTCTGCAGAATTTTTAGAATCCTCGCAAGTCTGAAAAGTATGTATGAGTACGTGTTTTGCTGTACATAAGTAAAGCGAAATAATCAAATCAGTTTTGTTAAAACGGGTTTTCAGTGTTAAAATCGAAAATGATAGCAGCTCTGCAGCATGGTCTCTTCTTTATCACGTATTCTTGTGGTGTTCATTAATGTTTATGCTTTGTTGTCTTTTATATAAATTAATACAGTGTATATTCATTTTTTATAAGGTCAATCTTTTAAGTTATATGCCAAAGCCTAACTTTTCAGATAACCTCTGACCATCAAAATCTAAATATATCTTGTGGGTATATATTTATAGAACTGTTTAGTTATTTGAAGTAGTGTCGGAAAAAGACAACACATAATTTATTTATTTTAATTGTGGTTTTAAGTTGAATATTCCGAATTTCAAAATAAGAATATTCTACTCGACTGCGGCCAATGATGACTCACATCTGTAATTGTTAACTAAGTGAGTAAATATGTTTAAAAGTTGAAGATATATTATTATTATTATTGACATGTTCAAAAATATAAATTCAAGAACTAATTCTAATCACAAAAGCTTTCCAAGTATTTCTATCACGCGCTATAGCTCTTAGTTCACTGAAAGATTCGCTCGATTCTCTGTTAATTGTCAATCTCCATATAGTTGGTCGAAGGCGATTTCTTCTTTCTTGCGGACTTCATTTTAAACTGGCATTTGCGATTTCGCTGAAAGGTTTGCGTAGAATGTGACCCACCCCATATTTTCTTCATAAGATTTGTTTATCATGATGTGGAGTTACATACATATAAAAAAATCTTAGTAAAATTGTACGTTACTTTTAAGTTATATAGTTAAAGAACAATATTATATTATCATAGGAAACTCTTATGTACTATATCGGCAGATATGTTGAAGAAGGGCTTTTCAGAACAAAACTGACAAAAGCATTATGAAAAAAACATTTATGATTAGATAGCTCAAAACCTGGCTTTAAGAAGACTGTTTAAGATTCCATGGTATATTAGATCAACAGACATACATAGAGATCTTAGGATTGACTCAGTGAAAAAATATATCAGAGACAGAGCTCTAAAATTATTTACTAAAGTTGATACGCTACTTAACCCCGCTCTAACAATCCTCAAGTCCACTTCTGGACTCTCAGGAAGATATGCTGATTTAAGGTCCGTCATCAATTAAAAGACAAATAAATTATATGATTTCTTAGCCTAGTTAAAGCCTAGTGTGTGGTAGAGATAAGCCCCCAGCCATTATAGAGTAAAAGTGCGTAATAGCACTAACTCAAGAAGAAGAATCAAGAAGATCAAGATTTATGATTACAATATAGAAATCTAAGTTAACTATTCAAAATCAAAATTGACTTTAAAAAATTAAATGCAATTAAAATTGTTTCTTATTGTAAAAAATATAGACTAATAAGTAAAGATGAGTGATATAAACGGTTATGTAAGTAAGCAAAGTGTCTTATTCTTATATTTATATATATAATTTTTACCTTTTTGTCTTATTTTTTTTTTATTCAATATTTAACAAATAACTGTTTTATTGTATAAGAATTTTATGGTAATGTATTATTACAAAATAAATTTATTATAAATACTTCTTTTTAAGACTGATTTTCTAAGTCAAATCAAGAATGCTGGTGAAAAGTTGGTACTAGTCAACTTCATGACTTCGTGGTGTGCTCCATGTCACAAGATTGCACCTGAAATTAAACAACTGGCTCAGGAGAATTCAAATAATCTGATTGTAATTAATGTAAAGTGCTCATAATCTTACAAGTTTAAAGGTACTAATAGAAAAAAGTTTTTCATAGGTCGACGCTGAGCAACACCAGGATATAGCCTCGGAATATAATGTGACTTGCTTTCCGACATTTACCTTCATTAAAGACAAGGAGGCAGTAAAACAATTTCATGGCGCAGATGCCAATCAATTGTCCCAGTGTATATCAGAATTACTTCCTGACAATTTATAAAAATCTTTAGACTTAAAACTTTTAACGTTATAACCGCAAAACTATATTTTACCTACTATTTGACAAAATATACTTTCTTTAAAATGTAAAAAAAACTATTTTAACATCACATCTATACCCAGCATGAATTAAGTTTTTCCAAGTGGCAAGACATGTTAATGTCTTTTGGATAGTATGCCGATTAATTTCTGGAATATTTTGATCTATTTTGAAGAAGTTTTTAAAAGTGGTAAACCATAAAAAGTTGTGGGAGATGTGCTGTTATTCCGTCGTTAAAACATATTGCGACTGTCATGTACATGAGTGTAGTTGGAAGGCAAAGCAGGAGTTGGTCAGATTCACGAGCACAAAAGACTATATAAATGGAAAGCTCATATTCAATAAAATTCTATATTATATGTATATCATTCAATAGACTTAAAAAATCAATGCTGCACAAGACTGATTGCTCATGGCCATACCACACAATCGATCTATTATAATTAGAGGGGAAGGGGGTGGTACTCAGTGTACTCTTTTTTTATTTTGAAATACTACTTCGGTTAGACCGGTAATATCGTCATGTAAGCCACATTTCCTTCTTGACCTACAGTTATGTATGCAAATATAACGTGACGAGAAAGAAGTTTATATAGATTAAAATCTTTTTAATTGCTTTAAGTAACGAAATGTTATTTTAACTTAAAATTTTAACTAGCCGTTGTGTGGTTTACGACGCATCAATCCCTGAATCTCGATCTAGTAATTTTTATAAAATTTCGTTAGTATATGATATATTGATTATCTTGTAGTATTTCAAATCTTGTATGTCTTGTCATTATTTTCTGACAATAAAAATAGCAAATCATAAAAGATTGTATAGCGTAATTACAATATAACAAAAACAAATAAATAGATAGTAATGATTGAACCATAAAATATTAATAATAATAATAAAATAATACATTTATATATATATAATATGGCCTTAGAAATATATTATTATATCGCGAAAGAACATGACAGATCGTCAATACCTATTCATCTTTCAAATTGGAACACTTCAGTACACTTTTGCTGTACTAAAGTTTAGTTTGAGGTTGTCAGATCTGTATATATAAAAAAAATTTTTTTTTACAACTTTTTTATATAGTTGCAGATTTACTTACAATTAAAAAAATAGAGTTTATTCTATTTCTGCAAATCGCACTATTCTTTCTAAATACCGCATGCAGGAATTGCGTTTTTAAATACAAATATCGCTTATAGCATTTTCCTTTTAAAAATCAAGCACGTGGAATAAGTCATCCAAATACCCCCAGCATTTATAGAGTAAAAGTGCCTAATAGCAGTAACTCAAGAAGAAGAATCAAGAAAAAATATGATTTGTAAGAAATTTGGGTAAGAATTGAATGGTGAACCACATCATTTCGTGGTGAGTAGTAGAAGTTTTTTTATTGTGACAATTTGCGCAAAATATTTTGTGTATATTTTTATTAAGACTTTTGTAAATTAAAATGCTGAGTGCTGCAGCAATATTTTGTTGTTTTTGTTTAAGAGAATTATTGAATCAATTCTACTATTGAGAATTACGAATTTAGTTTAAGCTGGATTATGTAAAAATAACAATCTAATTGCAATTTTAGTTGTCGTATTTATATGTAGAATAAGAATGTAAGTTTTATTTGATATTGTTATGATGTAAGTCGGACAATTCAACTACAATGTGCAGTATGAGTTGGCCAGAAGTTATGAATTGAATGTCATATATAAATCCTGTTTAAATAAAATATATGTAAAATATATGTAAATTGACATATGCTTCCAGGTTCAGATTGATTTAAAAACAAACACAGAACTGTAATTTTATAATTAAAAAATCAATTTGAACTAGAACTACATTTACGGAATGTAATTTTGTTTTTTATTTGAATTCGAAATAATTTTTTTAGGAATGCAACACTGTAAAATATAAGACTATTTTCGAAGTTATTGGTTAGTTTCTTTCTAACCTATATTCTCAGCTGATTTCAAAATTAAATAACAATATTTTGTTAGAATGGCAAACCCAAAACGCGTAAGATTTTCGTGAAACTAAATGCAGGCAACAATTAAATAAAACATATTTTTTTAGGTTCTACAAATTTTTAAAAAATTACATCGAACGAGACAAGTTGTATTTCGAAATGACGAGAGAACTTTGGATGCAGCGCGTAAACAAATAAACGAAGCCTTTTTTAAAAGCAAAAATGAAACTGATGATGCCGAAATAAACAAGGTAAACAACAATTGCTTAAATATTTTATATTAATATTATTAAACAAAGTTTATGTTGGTAGATGATAAAATTAGCGGAGGCTGTTGAAAAGGAGTTACGTACGAATGTCATACAAGCTGTACAAAAAGAGGACAATGTTTTCAGTAAGTAGAATTAGCAAATTTTTTAAAATATATGTCAACGCGGATTATATTCAACAGCTGTGGAAATTACCAAGGATACCACTAAGTTAGATAATTTTCCCTTCAATCCTGATGCAGTGTTAGAGCGTCCAAAACGCTCCCGTGGTAGTGGTTGTGGTTCCACTGAAGAAGTAACAACGACAGCTCAAAATAATAAAACATAGACAACGAGGCTTAAAAATAAACGTTTATAAAAAGCAACGTAGGAATGTAAAAGGCTTACAAATGTAAAAAAAATAATGTAATTTAATAGCTTTAATATAACTTTAATAAAGTTTAACTAAATTTGCTTTAATATAAGGTAATAAAGAAAAAACAACCAAATATATACAAATCAGAAACAAAGTTTATTTTTTATATTTTTTGCTTGTTTTTCTAGATTTTTTTTCTTTATTTTTTTTACGTTTACGCTCATCTTGAGAACTAGAACTGGAACTTGAGGGTGTACTATTGTCACTAGTTGAACTGGAGCTTGAAGTTGTGCTGCTGTCACTAGTTGAGCTGTTAGATTCCGTTTCACTAGAGGATGAGTCTTTAGTTTTTTTATTCTTTCTTTTTCTATCCTTTTGTTCACTCATTTTACGTTTCTTTTTCTCATCATGTGAAGGTTTTATACTCTTATCCACACTGTGGTCCTTTCGTGTGCGGCTGTCATACAAGGGTTTATGGTTGTTACTAACACTATCATATCTGCTGTGCCTTTCGCTTCGTTCATGTTGCGTTAATTCGGTTCGACGTCTATGCTCTATATTATCATTACTTTTACCATTTTTTCGTTCACACACTTTGGGATCTAATCTATCCCGGCGTGAAGGACTATTGCTGTTAGACCTTTGCCTGTCATGTTTACGTTCATCTCTATAATTGCGTGGTGGACTATGCGTATTGCGATGGTGACGATTTCTTTCATAATCATTGTGGTCAGCTCGACGTCCACGCAGGGGACTATGACGATTTTTGTATGTGCGGTCAGGACTAGAGTTATCCTCCATTCTTCTTTTACGATAATTTTCACGCTCTCTAGAATATTCGTTTTGTACACGTGCTGGGCTACGACTACATCGGCTCCTTTCATCACGATTGATATTACGATTCTTCGAGTTAGACCTATGCTTACGAGATGGACTTTGACTCTGATGTCGTGCTCGATGATATTTAGCGTCATCATTATGTGCAGGAGACTTGCGATTATATTTATTACTTTTAGTATATCTTTCACTACTATCATCTTTTCGTTTTCTAGCAGAAAAGTCCCGGCGTTCTCTACTGCGACTTCGACGTGGAGATCTATTTTTTCTATCATACTGTCTATATTCAGGTGAACGACGCCGATTTTTATAAGTATTTCTGCTTTCCCCTTTTTTATTTTTTTCCTCACTTAAATCGTTAAAATCAAACTTTCCTTGCATTCCATCCACACCACGGCCCTTACCTCGCCATTTTACTTTAGCGACAGATTGAGAGAAATCTACATGTATACGTCTATCGTCAATAAGTACATTATCCATTTTAAAGTAAGCCGCTTCACATGATTTTTGCTCTTCAAATTCAACAAAAGCATACTGTAGAGAATCTCCTGTTTTTTTGTCACGTATAACTTCACAAGTTTTTACTCTACCAAAGCGACTAAATATTATTTCCAAATCATCATCCGTTGTTACTGGATTGAGTTTACAAACAAATAGTACATTTTCTGGTGGCGCTACGTCAGCATCTGGAATATCACCCACAATTTCTAAAATAGTTGCACGTGCTTTTGCTTCACGATCGGCTATCATCTCCTGCAGTTCTTCAACACTTTTGCCTTCTGTGTCATAAATGTCCTCATCAGCAGCAATCCGCCCATTTTTTAGACGTTCCTCATTGGGTGATGGCGAACGACTTGGCACTTGAAAACCTCGCGGATCATCAAATGGATCATTAAGTATAACAGTATGTGTAATGCGTATGTCCTGAAAAGGTCGACTATTATCATCGACAATAGTTTCATTCAACGTGCGTAATATATCAAAACCTAGAAATTTCGAATTTTTAATATATATAAAACATAAAAAAATCTATTATAGAACATACCCTCGACCACCTCTCCAATAACACAATGTACACCATCCAAAAATGTTAAATTAGAGTCTAATGTAAAGAAGAATTGCGAGCCAACCAAATTTTTACCTGGACTTACTAGTGACAGCAAACCAGGGCTTGTATGATTTATCTTTGGCAAATTTTCAGCTTGGAAAAATCGTTTTTGTGGACCTTCAATTACACCCCAAATAGAACTACCTCCATTTCCAGCTCCACTAGGATCACCAGTTTGGGCAATAAAATTCTGTTCCACTGTATGGAACAAATTGTAATTGTAGTACTTCAGCTTGCACAGTTTTATGAAGTTGAGACACGCAATTGGCCGCTGCTCGGTAAATAAATCAACCGTAATATCACCGATTGTGGTTTCAATAACCACCGACATGTTGAACGTGTAATATTCAGTAATAACTTAATTATAAAAGTAGCACAAGAACATAAACTTTACAAGCACTCTCGCAAGTTAGTAGACAGCTGTGGTGAGAATAACTAGTAATGTAATAGAGTTCAAATTGTACCATAATATTGTAGATAATACACTTATTGAATTTTAGTGTTGCTTACCCAAAAATTGAAATTTATTGTATTTAACAGCGTTTTCTATTAGCGCATCCAAACTTATTCTAAAATTAATTTCTATCTGTAAAAATTTTGTACTTAAAATTATATTAAGTTAAATAAGGTAAACGTTTTATAAAAGAATTGGTACATTTTTAGCACTAGGCATACGCTGTATGTTTTTCAACAATATATACAAAATCTTTTTTGGACATATATAAGTAATAAGTTTTTTTTGCAGGATGTCATATATATCATATATCATTGTTTTAAATGATTTGAAAATTGAAAATAAAAACACTTCTATTTGTTGATTTTAAATAAAAATTATAGCTTGTTTATTTAAATAAATAATATTATATAACATTTATGACTATTGTTAAAATAAGAAAAAACTACAACAGGAGTATTGTTCTAAATAAACTTTAATATAATTTTTTGTTTGAAATCAACAAATAAAATTTTATATTTGGTAGATAGGTTTCGAAAAGTAGTAAACTACAACAATAAGTCTTTTTTATATTTTCCTAATTGAATATTTGGTTGACTATACAACTGTTTCGAATACTGCCAAGTATCCATCATCAGTTTTCTCGAAATTATTTCTTGTATATAATTATACGTAAATAATTTTTTGAGAATGCACCTAGCAAGGGTTGAACTCGTACCCTGGCAAATTTTAAGCTCAGAGTCAATGTTTATTAGTAAACTGTCTTAATGACGTATTTAACTTGTATGTTCTGATTTGAAGTTCTGTGATAGTGAATCTAGTGTTTTAATTCAAATACAACTCAATTCAATATTTTTTAAATAAATATTTTTTACTAATTAACCATACAAACAAAAAAATTTATAAGCAATTAAATATATGCAAAAAGATGAAAAAAGGCGTTATTTATGTAGACAAGATATATTAGAGCATGTGTAATTGATTTTACAAAGTTGTAAAATTGTTTAAATAAAATTTTGCAATTATAGTATTAAATTTATTTTTTTCATGTATGTAGAGTAACCCAATTGCAGATGTGCTTTCTGGTTAAAAAAGTGGCAACACTGTGCTATATATTTGACTACCACCACCATTATTTCACCTCAGTTTACATTTGGTCGCCTTCTAGTGCGAAGTGGAAGCTATGTGGCTAGGCGGAGTAATATTTTAAATATTTTTATAATTTTTGTTTATGTATAAAAAATATTAGAATAGAATAAACGCAAAATTTACATGAAGGAAATTTTGTGCAGCGAATGGTTTTAAATTGATAAATTGGCATTTAAAAATTCCTATTGTGAGTCGTCATATGTGTTTTGTTTTTGTTTGAATTGCGAATAAATGTGATGTGATGCAAATTAATAAAGTGAAAATTGTAAAAGCACTATTTGCAAAATTAAGCATAACCAAAAAAAGTTGATATTAAAGTAATATGTTAAAAATGCCCTAACGCTTAAACGCTTGTTTAATTGTTTTTACAAATAAAAAAAGTACAGAGCAATCTCGAACAGCCTAAGCTGAATACCAAAATTATAGGGCGAATATTTTTCTTTTTTCAACAAAAAAAGTGTTATTGCGTATAATTAAAAGTTTTTCGTGTGTGAAAATTATACGAATTAAATTTATTAAACTGGCTACTATAAGCGATAAACAAAATTTTGATATGAGCATGGATGATGCGGAGGACGAAGTTACGGATATTAAACTTCAAGTCTTTCACAATACAGTGCGAGAACAAATAGTAAGTAAATCAATTTAAATTATTGAATCAGTTCAAAAATATTGCAGTTAGTAAAAATGCTTAGAGAACCCAAGCTAAACTAATAACTTGTCAGAACAATAAAATTGACCACACTTTTACATCCACCACCGTTGCTTCCATTGACTATGCAAGCGAAGTGCAGCTGTTGGCCAATTTAACGGATTTTCAAATCAGAACTCATCGAACATTTTTGCGGTTGAGGTGAAAGGAAACCGCCGTTATCACTTGGCACGTGCCAGTCAGTTGCTCTTCTCGCATAATAAAAAACAAGTTTATAAATTTTTCTTTTGTGTTGTTGTTAGTAATGTTAATCTAAAACTTATTTATAAACTTATTTCACATTTAGAATTTGTTGGAATAAATTATGCTGAGATAAATTATGCTGAAATTTTTAATGCTCATGATTCTGATATTATGATAAATCATTTAACTATTTTTCATTTAAATTATTTTGAGTACGGTGGAGAGCTTGTAAGCACCAAATCCATTTTCGATTTGATATTCAAGATACCACTAAAAATTCTAGTGTTAGACTACTAAAACAAGTTCTTGGGAATGAGTGTAGAACAACTCGCCATCAGGCTGTAAAACACTTCTGTCTGAAATTGTTGTCCAGTATTTAGGTGGTGAAACATAAGGAGCTTAGTAGTTGGGTTTCCAAACGAATTCAGTTTTCTTTCGAGTCCCTTTTAAAAAGAATGCCTATAAACCAAATGAGAATTATACTTTCACCTTTTAAATATATAATACATAATCAATCACATAGTACCTACAAAGTATGATAACACTTTTCTATCGTTCTGATACCCAGAAACACATCCTCATATAATTCTAACTATTCTTATAGTTAAGTTTGATAAATCTGT